GAATCATGGCCACCATCCGATGAAACATTGGTTCCCGTAATATCAAGCAACGTCGAGCCTGGTCAGTATTTAGATGGGCGACGGCATGGGATTACCAGGTACTTCAAGCTTAGATGCGTGATTGTTGTGATGGATAATGGCTCGAAATTGTTAATTGTAGAGCCGTGTTCCAATTCCCGCCGAGTTCGTTATATTTACTTACGTACAAATACCTTTGGGAAAGAATGAATCTAAATCTTCTCCCCACCTATGGGTTAATTAATTAGTAAGACATATTGTAAAGGACCGTGTGGGTTTGGGTGTTATTGAATTAGAAACACGGTCTGTTTGTTCCTGCTAGAAGAAGGTCCAACTACAAGAAAATGGCTCAAGTTGAGTCCAACCGAAGATGTAAAAGAAAACAAACAAGTCCGATATATATATATATATATATATATATATATATATATATATATATATATATATGTCAACAAATATATGTATTAAACAACAAACTTAAAAGTGACAAAGACATCAACATTTTTGTTTGTATGTGAACTTAAAGACTTTGTTCTTTGGTGAATGTTTGTACGTACGTGTATGTATATTTCATGGCCTTTTTCCCACAAGTGGGCAAAGCTCAGATTTCTACGAGCGATCACATATTTTAAATGTCTTCGCTGAAATGCAAAGTAGGAAAGTGAAGGAGGCAAGAAGTTGACCAGTATTTATAGTGTAGGGAGTGCGTCCCCTAGTGCACAATTAGGGAATTAAGGAGGAGTTAACTCCGACAATATCATTAAACCATTATTATTTTAAAAACAACTTATAACCGAAATAATTTTAAGGCTTTAAATAACCTGCAAAGGGTTGATAAGCCGTAGAAAACGAATCAACCAACGACCAATTCGCTTATCTGCGTTGAGAGTCACAGAGGAATCCATTTATGTGTAATGTGCCTTGAGCAGTAGACATGACGGTGTTTATTCCTGCTTTGATCAAACCACAGCCGATGTCATCTAGCTAGAAGGTCAGCATTAGTTACGGACACCGAGCCGTTGGCTTCTGTCAAGGAAGCCGTCCACCCACCTATGCTGTGTCATCATCCCTGTGCTGGTTACATCTATAGCTATGGGGCCCAATTTACCACTACTGTGCCGGTGATGACCGTTGATCCTAGAAGATGTTTGGACAATTTTTTTTTAAACACGCTGGGAGTCTTGCACATCTCACCATCAAAAAAGCCTGTTAGGCCAACAGTTTAATCACCGATGACCCTTATATGCGGAAGGCATTATTGGCTTACATGGCACGAGTAGAACTCGTGGAATAGAATCACCCAAATAAAATTAATAAGGACGTATGAATTACATTTGTAGTGGATTGGTAAATATGATTGTACCAATTTTCATATGATAAGTAGAAGAGCTATGAAGTGTAAAAATAAACACAGCTATAGGGTGGTACTTGACTACTGATCACATGTTGTAGAAAAAACACGATACAACAATATGGCGTCACCAATAGGATGTTTATGTCCTCTGAATGAACCAGAAATTTGTCGAGACTTGGATCCGAGGCCGAAAAAAACGAAGCTATTTATTTTATTTTATTTTTTTAATACTAATTTAATATATGAGAAAATCTATTATACCGTCTCCTGTTGTGAATGACATTTTATTTAATGTGGGCTGGTTATTTTGGATAATAATACTTTCTAGTGCAGAGTATTTGGGTGTTATCTGCGGATTGCACTGAGTTTCCACAGGATGCAGATCAAT